CCTTTCCCGAGGAGCATTGGTCAGGGGACCTAGCGATCCGCCCCAAGACCCCACCCACACCCCACCCCCGCAGCGGCCCCGCGGCCGAGGGGCCGGCGATTGGCCGGGCCTGAAGAGGGCTGGTTCTTCCGCGCTGCCAATGAGAAGACACAGAAAAGGGGAGCGTCACACCCAGGCCCAGGTAGTATGCAAATATAGTGTCACGTGACGTGAGGCTGGGTGGGGGCGGGGCCGGGTGTAGGTTGGAGTCGAGTACTAGTGAAATCTTTATGGGGGGTAGGCAGGAGTGTCAAACTTCCAGCAGCTGAGTCCCAGTAAGCACCGGGAAAGCGACAACTTCAAAAAGCATTACTTTTGGGTTAACCCCCAAAACAGTAGTTCAGAATTCTCATAAGATCTCAGTACTTCTTGCAAGATCCAAACTAAGGTTCTACACATTAATGCATAGTTTGCATATATTTGCATGCTATTTGCATTATATTCGTGCATTTCAAGGCTACCTTGCCTCGTGTGGTGCCCACATTTGTCCTTCTCCACGTTTCCAAGTCCCTACTTGGTGTTGATACAACCAAAAAAAAAAAAAAAAAACACAACAGCTGTTAAGACAGTAAATTAGATTGAAACTGAAAAAAAGCAGAGAATTCCCCTTCAGAGCTGTCCATTCCAAGTCTAGCTCAGCAGAATGGAAGGAACAAAGTGACTGAGAAACGTGCCCAAGTTTGCACAGTCACTCCATCAGTAAATCTTGGTCTTCCCAGTTCAGTGCTCTCTGACCTACAAGTCAAAATAAGACTGGATGGTCCCCAAAGAGAATGCATGCAGTTGTGAAAATAAGATAGCATGAAGACATAAGGGAAAGCAAACAGCATTTAAGTTACTATTAAAAATTATCACTCTTGCTATTTGCTAACCATTTTGTTCTATATATGGAAAAAGCTAACGGCAATCAACCCTGCATAGTCTGCATAAGGGACTATCAAAATAATTGGATAATTCCCTCCAGATTTATATTTAGCATTGAATTCTATTTTTGATCTTGCTACAGATTTATCTTCTATTTCTGTTTTTGCCCAGTTTAATGTTAAAATGAAGTTATTCCCTGAAGCCATACTAACTAATCAGAGAAAAGAAGGTAATCTGGGCGCATCCTGTGAGGAGAGGTCATTTAGGGATTAAATATTGAAAACAGTTAATAACCAAAGTGGAAATTAAAGAGTTGGTTGAATATTACAATTGGTCTCCATATATGCAATGAATTGAAGCAATGGAACATCATGAAGAGAGGTTCCCCCACTCCAAGAGAGTAAGTCCTCTGGTAGATTTGAAGGATTTACTTCAAGATCTGACATTTGAAATCTTTTTTATTCATGGGGAACTACTGTAATTCTTTTCCATGGAGAGAGCAACCTTACCAAAGGCAGACAGACATGACAAAAATTGATGACCTAATAAAAATTCAGAGTCTTTATAAACTTAACTCAATTGAAAAAAAGTCACAATTTATAAAGTTTCTCAATTTCAGTTCATTGAAAGTCTTCATAAACTTCTTTTTTATTTATTTTTTTTAAAGATTTATTTATTTATTTATACAAGCACTGGTACAGTCAGAAGCACGGGAGGGTGAGAGAATTCACCAGAGCCAGAGCAGGGAGCAGAGCAGGCAGAAGGACCGAGGTACACTGCTGAGGGGAGCAGCGGGCGGCAGGAGAGGTCTGCGCACCATGTGGGACCCTCGCCCTGGCGGCCAGGGATCCTACAGGTGCTGCAGAGGCTGCAGGCAGCTTTGCAACCCAGAACTCAACCGCTGCGCCACCGGGGAGGCCCTAAACTTTTCTTTTTTAATCCTCATAATCTGGAAGGAGAAAACCATACATTCTTCTTATGGTGCAAGTAGGGAGGTTGAGGCCCAAAGAGGTGAGTTCTATTAATTCCTAGTTCAGATCTCCATCAGACCTCATTGGACCATTGTGCCTCATGTCTTCATTAATAAAAACAGTAACAGCAGCTAGTATCCATGCCAGCAGCATGTTAAGCACTGTGCACACATTATCTCATTTAATGATTATGATGCACCTATGAGGTAGATATGTATTTCCTCTTTATTGAGGCTTAAGAAAGAATATGACCAAGGCATAAGCTGAACTCCTATTCTTATAAAACTTTCTTATGAACACAGAATTACCATTTTCATTTTACATAGTCTCCAAAGATGCAAATTTGTCTTTTATATTAAAATTGACAGTCTGTTACTTGATAGCTTTCACATACACCATATTATTTAATTTTCACAATAGGTGTGTAAGATAGAAAATGTAGATACTATTTTACAGCAAGCTAAGTCACAGAGGCTAAATGACTTGCTCAAGATCATCTGCATTGTAAATGACAAACCCAGGACATACATGCTAGGTCTTCTGATTTGTGTTTCAAATACTTTTCCAACCAACACTCAACTTATAGATCACTGGCCTGTCTGAGAACCAAAGGGTGGGCTAGTTGGTCTCTTAAAATCTCTTCTTGCCTAAGAACTGATTTCATTTTAGGACCCCTCAATGTTTAAATTTTCAGTCAATCTTAGGAGATGATGAATGGTTTTTATTGTTTGAGCTATATAGTGTATGGTGGAGGTAAAAGCCTGGTTATGAGGAATTTTAAAACATTTTGGGCAAATGACTTCCTTTATCTATGCCAGAATCACCACCTGCTCCATTAACCTCACAGAATTGTTCTAAAGATAAAGTAGCATGTTATTGGACAGATGAATTCTTTCTTTGGAGAAAAAGCTCCCAAGAATGTGGGGTTTAAATTTTGTTCCAGGAGCCTCCCTGGTGGCACAAGAGGTTAAGCACCGTATGATGATGCAATCCGCAACCTCTGCAGCACAAGTTCGATCCCTGGCGGGCTAGGGAGCTACCCACATGGCGCAGCAGACCTCTCCTGTCTCACCCGCTGCTCCCCTCAGCATTGTATTTCAGTCTGCCTATTCTGCTCCCCACTCTGTCTCTGGTGAATCCTCTCTCACACACACACCCCTCCCCGCATCTCTGGCCTGTACCCCAGCTCTTGTGGGTGAATGAATAAATAAATCTTAATAAATAAATAAATAAATAAATAAATTTTGTTCCAAAGTCAAGGAACCAGGAACTGAGTGCCTGGACAGGGCAGAAGAGCCAGCAGAGGTGGCACAGCTTAAGAATTAGATCTTCTGAGTCCAGAGAGTCATGGTCCTGCCTGATAAGTTTCTGGCAAAAGACACTAACGTTGACCCTAGCTGGAGCAGTGAGAAGGCAGACGTGCATAGGAGAAACCAGTTCTCTCCTTACCAGGTATCATGCCCAACCAGCTGTCTTATTGCCTTCTCTATCACTGATAGCTCCTCCTGGCATGGACATAATGGGTGGATAAAGACCTCATCTGAAGATCAACCCCTGTCTGTTTCCTTCAATAAAAGAAGCCATAGATTTGGGGAGGCTCAGCACTGCTAAAAGGAGATCCTTGTCACTGTCCCCACTGTCATCCCATCAACAAAGTTACCATTAATAATTCATTAATCACAAATTTATTGAAATGACCACTATTGCCAGACACAGAGCTTAGCACTAAAAAATGACAGTAATGTTTAGAGACATGGCCCCTACCCTGGAGTTCACAACCCAGCAGGCCCTGAAGCTTTTATGCAAAGGTGTCACTGGGCTAGAGGCTATTCCAATTGAGATGTGACCTGGTTCCTGCATTCAGGACTTTGGGTCAGAGGCAGGCATTCCAAAACATCAAGTGGGGTATTGATATACACCAAGTATATCGAGTAGGTGTTTTTTTTTAATCTATAGGAAAATGCCCCACGGGTTCCAACAGCAAATGCTCAGTCTCTTCACCCCAGCCTGCTCTTGAGATATCCATGCTATCACAAATAAATGAGAACTCTAGGAACTGGAGTTATTTTCCCCATAGGTGTGAAACAAGAAGTATAGCCACTCCCCAAGCAATCTCTCTAAGGCCTGGAATCTTAAAAGCTGCAGGAGTCTGAGACACTACCAAGAACAAAAGGTTGTAGGGAATTCTGGAAGATTATAGGATCAGCAGTGAGGCTTCATCCTTCTGGCTACTGAATTTAGAGATGATTGTCATAGCAAAGAGAAGCTTTTTAATTCTGAAGACATTCTCTGGTCCTACTTTCAGGGTACAAGTAACCCTTCTCCCTCCCCTCACCCCACTCAACATCACAGCACACACACGCACACACACACACACATGCACATGCACACACACACAGTGCATCCATCTCTGCCGCAAGGAAGGAGAAATGGGAGTTCAAAATCTCCATTTCTATCCCCCAAACTATGGTAGTCAGTAGTAAGTGTTCAGCAGAAAAGAGAAGTTTTGATATTCCTTGGTACTGGGGGCTATCACTGAACTTCTTGGTAAATATCTAAGCACTTATATCTTTGGCCTCCAGGTTCCAAAATAATAAAACAGAAAATAAAATGACGCAGATACACAGCGTCTCTTCCGACCTACCTCCTTTCCGCAGCCTCTGTCTGAAATGCCGAGCCTGGCTCCGCAGGGACCAAGATCCTGAGGAAACGGGGTCAGAACGCAGGAGCAGAGCCCTGAGAGGGCCCGGGCAGGAGCTGAGGGAACGAATGAGGTTATGGGAACAGAGTAGGGAGGGGGCCTAGTCCTCAATGCTTCTCCAACTCTAGTGGCCTCCCTTTTCCCTGTACCCCTTCCCTCTTACTCCCAAGTAACCAGGTGGCCTGGATTTTGATCTCCTGTACTTTTTCTGACACATTTTGCCCCTTGCCGTGGCCTACCACTTTCTGACTTGTGTCTTAGTTATCTTACTTTTTCATTCTCCTTGGTTCAGATGGGATGACTTTTGGTCCTTCTTTTCCTCTTGGTGAAAATCAAAGTTCCTGCTAAACAGCAGTCTTTTATTTTATTTATTTATTTATTTATTTATTTATTTATTTTTTAAGATTTATTTACATGTACAAGAACTGGGGTACAGGCCAGAGGTATGGGAGGTAAAAGGATTCACCAGAGACTGAGTGGGGAACAGAACAGGCAGACTGACTGAAATACGCTGCTGAGGGGAGCAGTGGGTGAGAGAGGAGAGGTCTGCTGTGCCACGTGGGTTGCTCCCTTGCCGGGGATCGAACTTGTACTGCAGTGGCTGCGTATTGCTTCATAGGTTGCGTCTCAACCCCTTGTGCCACCAGGGAGGCCCAACAGCAGCCTTTTAAATACAAAGATTCTTCATCATTAACAATAATGATGGTGGAAGTTTTAAGACAGGTAAAGGGAAAATTTGGGATCACAGATACCAATATTTTGGCATACTGGATCTAATGGCATGCCATGAAAAATGCAAAGTTGATTTTTATTAAAAAACATAGTAGAAATATTAGACACTCTATATGATTCAGTCATTCATTTTACAGATGGAGGATTGAATGCCCAGACAAGAACATGTCAGAGGCCACTCAGAAAATCAGAGGCAGGGGTGGAGACCAGGGTGCCTGCATCCTGTTTGGTGTTGCCTCAGAGCTTAAATAACTTATGAAAGAATTTAAGTGGAATAGTATTCAGCAATAAAAAGGAAAAATACTACTGATATATCCTACAACATGGATGTACCATAAGAACATTATGCTAAGTGAAAGAAGCAGATGCAAAAGACCACATGTTGTATGATATATTTATATGAAGTGCCCAGAAAAAGCAATTTATAAACAGAAAGCACATAAGTGATTGCCTAGGGCTGGGAGTGGAAGCAGAGATAACCTGAAAATAGGCACAATCAAACTTTTTGTGGTGATGGAAATGTCCTAAAACTGAAATGTGGTAACAATTACACAATTTGAATAAGTTTATTAAAAATGATAGAATTATATATGTACAGTGAGTGAATCTTACAATTTAATGAAGCTGTTAAAAAGAAAAAGGATTTAGATAAGGCTGTGGATAATAGACCCGTGGCCTGTAGGTGATCCTACTTATCGTTTAAGGGTATGTTCCAGGAAATGAATATTATCACTCCCTTTTAGGGTACCCCTAGAAGTTCACTGTGAGAGACATAATATTTGGCTCTTTGCTCTATGGAATACCCAGAATGGACATTTATCATTTTAAAACATTCTCTCCCACTCTAAAATATATAAACTTCCTATTATCGGTATATTAAAAGGATCATACACCACAGCGAACTGGAATTTATTCCAGTGGTGCAAGAATGGTTTACTATACACAAATCAATTAATGTAATATACTACACATCAACAAAAGGAAGGACAAAAATCATATGATCTTATCAATAGATGCAGAGAAAGCATTTGAAAATAAACAGCATCCATTTATGATAAAAACTCTTAACAAAATAGGTATAGGAAGAGCATATCTTAACACAATGAAGGCCATATACTACAAAACCAGAGCTAATATCATAATCAATGGTGAAAAACTGAATCTTTTCCTTTAAGATCAGGAATATCAGTGAAATAAGCCAGAAGGAAAAAGAAAAGTATCGAATGGTTTCACTTATAGGAGGAATATAGGGGAACCAAATAAGGAATCAGGAAAAACAATAATAATAATAATAATAATAAACAAAACTAGCAGGCAACCATAAATAAGAGACATTCTGCAAGGAAGGGGGAGGAAAAGGGATCAAAACAGGGGAGAGAAGAGCACAAGTGACTGTGGTGATGGTTCATGGGTGAACTGGTGGTGGGAATCTTACGGGGAATACACAATTATGTAAAAGATATAAATAAAAAATTATAAATAAATAAAAAATAATAAAATAAGATCAGGAACAAGGAAGGCAAGGATGTCCACTTTCACTCCTTTTATTTATTTTCATATTAGAGGTTTTTGTGAGAGCAATTAGACAACAAGAAATAAAAGGAATCCAATCTGGAAAAGAAGTGAAATTATCATTATTTGCAGATGATGATATGGTAACATATATAAAACCCTAAAGAATTCATACAAAAATAGTATTAGAAACAATAAATGAGTGTAGAAAGTGTCAGGCTACAAAACTGATATATACAAAATCTGTTGTATTGCTATATGCAATAAATGAGAAGAAAAAGAAAGTAAGAAAACAAATCACATAAAAAAGATTAAATAGCTAGGAATAGGGCCTCCCCGGTGGCGCAGCGGTTGAGCGCTGGGTTGCGAAGCTGCCCGCGGCCTCTGCGGCAACGGTTCGATCCCCGGCTGCTCCCCGGCCGCCCCGGGGCGAGGGTCCCACATGGTGCACAGACCTCTCCTGCTGCTCCCCTCAGCAGTGTATTTCAGTCAATCTGCCTGTTCTGCTCTCTGCTCTGTCTCTGGTGAATTCTCTCACCATCCTGCGCTTCTGACTGTGCCCAGTGCTTGTATACAGAAATAAATAAATCTTTAAAAAAAATAGCTAGGAATAAATTTAACAAAAGAGGGAAAAGGTACTGTTAAAAGATATAAAACAAGAAACAAAGAAATGGAAAGATTTCCCATGTTCCTGGTCAAAAGGACCTACAAAAGCAATATACAGATACAATATAATCCCTATCAAAATTGTAATGCTATTTTCCAAGGAAATAGAATAAAAAATACTGAAATTTATATGGAATCACAAAAGACCCTGAATAGTTAAGCCAATTTTGAGCAAAAAAGAACAATAAAAACTATGCATCATGTTATCAGATTCTAAACTATATTGTAAAGTGATAGTAATTACAGCAGTATGATATTAAAATATAAACTGACACATGCATCAATGAATTAGAATCAAGACCCCAAAATAAATCTACACACTTATTGACATCTAATTTATGACAAAGGCACCAATATTATACAATGGAGATTGGCAAATCTCTTCAACAAGTGGTGCTGGGAAAACTGGACAGCCATATCTGAAAGAATGAAACTGATCAACCTCCAACTCTATACATAAAAATAAATTCAAAATGGATTGAAGACTGAAACAATAAAATACAAGGAAAAAGACATAGGTGCTATGTTCCATGACATCAATGATAGGGATGTTTTTGGGAACTCAACCCCAATGACAAGGGAAATGAAATTAAAGTAAAAATAAACCATCAGGACTACTGAAAATTAAAAAGCTTTTGCAAAAAGCAAAAGAAAATACCAGCAGACTAACAAGACAGCCTATAGAATAGGAGAAGATATTATTCACCTATCATATATAAGATAAGTAGTTAATAGCCAAGGTATATAAAGAACTCATCCAACTTAACAAGATCCTCAACCCAATAAAAAGAAAAAATGGGAAGAAGGTCTGAATAGAGAGTTTTCCAAAGAGAATATATAGATGGCCAACAGACATTTAACAAACATTCATTATCACTGCTTATTAGGGAAATGCAAATCCGAACCATAAGATATCATCTCACACCTGTGATAAAAGTTTACATCAAAAAGACTGTTAACAACAAGTAATGGTGAGGATGTGGAGAAAAAGGAACACTGTTGGTGAGAATGTAAATTGTGTAGTCATTTTGGAAAACGGTATGAACCTTCTCAAAAAACTAAAAACACAACCACCATATGATCCCACTTCTGGGTATCTATGCAAAGGATATGAATTATCAACTTGAAGAGTTACATACATCACAATGTTTGTTGCAGCATTATTTACAATAGCTAAGATATGGAAGCAAGCTGAGTACCCATGGATAGGCAATTGGATAAAGATGTACTGCATATACACAACAAAATATCATTCAACTACATGGAAAGATGAAATTTTGCATTTGCAGCAAAATGGAAGGAACTTGAGAGGATCGCGTGAAACAAAATTAGTCGGAAAGGTAAAGACAAATATTGGATTATTTTACCTGTATGTGCAATATAAGGAAGCTTAGTGGGTAGATGCATAAAACAAAGCAAACTAGTGGATATTGAAAACAGAAATAAGGCTATCAGAAGTGAAGAAGGTCGGGGGAAGTGTGGAGGGTGTATCTTGGATGGTGGTTGTGGGTTTTTTTTGAAATTAAATAAGTAAATAAAATACATAAGCTGCCTGAGGAGAATAGGTGTGTCTTGGTCCTCAGTTTACTATATCTATATCCAGTTTACTATATACTATATCCTGTCACCAGCATGGAAGTGGAGCATAGGGGAAAATTAATTACAACAAACTCTAGATCTGCTATGTCTTGTGATTATGGATACCTTGGGGAACCATCTGGTTTCTACAGCAGTACCTCAGTGGGAACAGTTTGCATTCTTCACACCTGACTTTCCCAGCCCCCTAAGAAATCAGTCTTGGGAGGATATTGGAGACTGTGTATAAAACACAAGGCCTGGGCCTCCCCGGTGGCGCAGCGGTTGAGCGCTGGGTTGCGAAGCTGCCCGCGGCCTCTGCGGCGCCGGTTCGATCCCCGGCTGCTCCCCGGCCACCAGAGGAGGGTCCCACATGGCGCGCAGACCTCTCCTGCCGCCCGCTGCTCCCCTCAGCAGTGTACTTCGGTCCTTCTGCCTGCTCTGCTCCCTGCTCTGGCTCTGGTGAATTCTCTCACCCTCCCGCGCTTCTGACTGTACCCAGTGCATGTATAAACAAAAACAAACAAATAAAGAAAGAAAGAAAACATGCCTCTATATAAAAAAAAAAAAAAACACAAGGCCTATTTGTTCCACCTCCTTTAAATTTCTCTTTTCTCTTTCTGCTGTTCCATTTACCATCTTCTAGTCTGCCTCAAAAATATAGTTACTCCTAGGGCAAATAGGCTACCCATACTCCAAAGAGTATTTCACATACCATACTCCAAAGATTATTCCTCTTTCATGCCTTCACATCAATCAGGTATCCAACTATCATGAGACTCTAATTCAAAGCTATTATAAAGATAACAGAATGGATGAGTGATTTTGATTTGAAAGTTAATCTATAGTCCGATTTCCTTTAGACATAGCTGTAGGCTTCATAGCTTATTTTCAGGGCAAAAAATATTATCTATAAGGGCTTTTGTAATAGATAACTGCAGAATATCACCATAGATTCTTTTCTGTGCCTTGGTAAATGAGATTTCCCCCACCCTGCAACTCCATCCTTTTCACTGTCATCTGCTTCAATTTTTAATTAGACTGCCTTCCAACCTTCCTCAACTGACCTTGTCAGACACGAATGATTCCCTCAGGACTTAGATGTCCAGCTTGTGTTGCCCATTGTTTGGTACAAGTTTCTGGGTAGCTTCATCATTTCTCCTTAGTCATTTTATCTAT